GGGGATTTTTCCAATGAAAAACATTGGGTTTCTGACCAGCTCTGTTTATCATGTATGTTCTAGTTCTGTTGCTAGTATAACTTAGCCTGATTTGCATGATCATGGTTGTATTCGCTACAAGTTCCTGTGTCTGTTTGCAAGTCTGAGTGAATCAACAGGAAGTTGGCACAGCATACTGTCCTAGGCAATATGTGACTACTTGAAACTTCCTGTATTAGCCTGAGGCTATACAACATAGGAAGAAATTCTATTTGGAGGTCGACACAATCTAATTTTTAACAAAATTAAAATATGTTGAATTCAAACAAGCATCAATTTAATGCCATCCTCCAAAGAAGAAAACTGTGGTGAATGGACATCATGGAGTAGTTGGTGGATGATGCTGTCTAGTCTATAACGCAAACATCTTGCACAAACCTCTTAAATTTAATTTTTCAAATAAAATTTTATCTTTCTATTAATTGTGATGGTTAATTCCATCATGTATTTAAGTTAAACAGGCCTTCACCAGTGTTTTAGTCCAGTTTTGCACCAAAACAATGAAGATATACTGGTGGTATACCAGTGGCAAATCAGGCCCAGGGAATCTGAGCTGGGCTATATTCAATATCAGAAGGATGGCATAGTATAATGCACTAGTCCTTATATTCCTACTTCTTGCTTGCATTTCCACTTTGGAAGTATGCACATAAATGATTGTGAGCTTAGTTGTACAAAATGTTTTTTAATTAAAAAAAAAATTCTATAAATGTTGGCTCTTTGTGTACTTGGTATTCTCTCTCTGCTTCGTTGAGCCTTTAACAATTATTAGTTTGAAAACTAACTAATAACCCCTATTAAATATTAATGTTACCTCCATGTCTGATCATACAATATATCTGATATCAAGGGCTTGTCTATACTTACGCGCTGGTTCGGCGGCAGGCAATCGAACTTCTGGGTTCGATTTATCGCGTCTAGTCTGGACGCGATAAATTGAACTCAGAGGTGCTCCCCGTCGACTCCGGTAATCCTGCTCGCCGCGAGGAGTACGCGGAGTCGACGGGGGAGCCTGCCTGCCGGGTCTGGACCGCGGTAAGTTCGAACTAAGGTACGTCGACTTCAGCTACGTTATTCACGTAGCTGAAGTTGCGTACCTTAGTTCGATTTGGGGGTTTAGTGTAGACCAAGCCCAAGTGTCAAACAACTGCATTAGCAACTGTGTCAGGTAGCAAGGTGCTGCAGTACCTTCATTTCTTAACTAGTGGTGGAAGGGTAAAGAACAATCACAAATCCATAAAAAATTCATGTGTGTTTTAAAAGAGGTTTTGAAAGGCTGCCTGCAGCAGTTTGCAGTGAAGAGCCAGGTGCTCTAAAGACTGTGATGGATGGTGTCAGCTTTACAAAGCTCACTCAACAGCTAGCTAATGTGATTGATGTCCCAGCTTGACTGAAGGTGATCGCAAATACCATCATAAATATTTGCTCAGGAAAGTCCCTGGTGATAACAGTCTTTCTGTAAGTTTCTATAAATCATTTTACACATTTATCCTTTCACTCCTTGAAATGTTATTCATGGAGATTGTGGAACAAAGAAGAGCTAAGGAAATGCAATCTGCATGCATGATAGTGCTCGTTCTGAAAATACCAGTGGTCTTTGGAATGGAGATTACAGACCAGACTGCATTCTAGTCACCGGATCCTGAAAACAAATATGCGCATGCTTAACTTTATGCACATGTGACAGGGTTCCCTCCCCACTCTGAATGCTGGGGTACAGATGTGGGGACCCGCATGAAAGACCCCCTAAGCTTATTTCTACCAGTGTAGGTTAAAAACTTCCCCAAGGCACAAATTCCTTCCTTGCCCTTGGTATCGCTGCCATCATCAAGTGATTTAAACAAACATTCAGGGAGGGCCACTTGGAGCCCTACCTCCCCCAAAATATCCCCCCAAACCCCTACACCTGCTTTCCTGGGGAGGCTTGAGAATAATATCCTAACCAATTGGTTACAAAGTGAGCACACAAAGTGACCCCTGGGTCTTTAGGACACTGAAAAACAATCAGGTTCTTAAAAGAAGTTTATTTAAAATAAAAAAGATAAAAGAATCACCTCTGTAAAATCAGGATGGAAGATAACTTTACAGGGTAACAAAAAGATTCAAAACACAGAGGATTCCCTCTAGGCAAAACTTTACAGTTACAAAAAAAAAAAAAAAAAAAAAAAAAAAAAAGGAAAAAACCCCCCC